ACTCGAGGGTAACACCGTTCTTACTGAATCTGAGTGAACATTGGCCAGGAGCAGTGAACAGACCAGGAGATCTCTTCACTGGCGGAAGTGCTAAGCAGCAGCACGGGCCTGTGTGGTCATCATTGTTGAAATCGGTGCTGGAGGGAGGCAGGGACAACGGGGCAGGGGTCAGAAGGGCCCTTGCGGGGAGGAGAGGCTTTCGGGCAGGACGTTCGGGCAGCACGTGCCCCTCCCCAGCTGTGGGGCTGGGAACCCCGCCCCCGTGCAGGACGCGACCCTGAAGACGGAACGACAAGAACTCTGGGAGACGTTGGTCAGGGGACCGGAGGCCGGTGAGGAGTCCGTCAACCCCTTTGAAGAGTCTCGTGTCCCCTGCAACGAGGCGGCGCGAGCAATGTGGAGAAGGACATCCTCGGCCGTGTCCCCCGTGCCTGGCTCCCTGGGTCCGGACGGGCCTCCCCGTGCCACCCGCCCCCGGGAAGTGTCCGGAAGCCGGGCACCGGGGCGTCTCCGCCGCGCTGTCGCCGCCATGCTTCTCTGGCTTCACCGAAGGCCTGAGAGGTCTGTCCCGGTCCCCCACGCGGGGCAGATGCGCAGTTCTGCTGTGGGTGGCACTCGGGGACATTGCTCCAGTCCCGGTGTCACCCCATCCCACATCTGTCACCCCACCTGTCGGGTCCTCTTCTCCTGCGACAGGCACCCCTCCTGATCAATGAGCCCTCATTTTCTTCCTGAAAAAACCGTTATCTCCTCTTGACGTGGTGATCGAGTGTGATCCTAGATGACGCGGTGACCACATGAGGCCCCAGGTTTGCCGTCCTCTCGGTTTCAAGCACCAGGCAGACCCTCCTTTGCATCCTCACGCTCTTGGAGACCGCAAAATACCCACCAGAGAGCCAGCAGTCAAAGTTATTCAGTAAGTTCAGCGCAAGCTGGATCTGAGTTCTTGTAAAAGGAGAAGACTTTGTGCTTACAGAGTGTGAAACTGGAGGGGAAGACAGTAAAACACTGAAGTGGGCGTTTTCTTAAACACATGCAAATTGGTTTGTATTACTTTCTGCAAATGAGTGAGTGAGTGAGTGAGTGAGTGGGTGAGTGAGTGAACAAATGAGTGAGTGAGTGAGTGAGTGACTGGGTGGGTGAGTGAGTGAGGGAGCAGCTACAGCCCCCCGGGAGGAAACACCCCCCGCCGAGGTGACTCGAGTTTCGCTCGAGCCTTGGAGCCCCAGGGAAGAGGCTCTAGAACAATCTCCACGTTTGCATCAAGTAGAGTTAGGTTCTCCGTGTAGCTAATGAAGCCGAGAACACCTCCTGCAGCCTGAAGCAGCTTGGGCTTTCAAAGTTTTTTTTAACTAATTAATGTCTTTTAGAGAGGGAAGGGATGGGGAGAGAGAGAGAGAGAGAGAGAGAAACATCCATGTGCGGTTGCTGGGGGTCATGGCCTGCGACCCAGGCGTGTGCCCTGACTGGGAACCGAACCTGCGACACTTTGGTTCGCAGCCTGAGCTGCAGCTTGGGCTTTAAGATTGGAGAAATGACTCTGAAGCAGGCTTGCGTTCGGGCCCACCTGCCCTGACTTGGCCCCCCCCCCGTGGCCCCCAGTGGCCCCGTCGCCGCCCACGCCGCCCTCGCAGCACCTCTGACCCCACTCCCCGCGTGCGAGCCGCGCCGTGGACCGAGCAGACGCGCTGGGGAGCGGCCCCGCTGCCCGGGGGCCTCAGATGAGGGGGCCTGGCTTTTGCGCCCCGCGCGGCTGCGGGGCGAGATGCACTTCAGGGGCGTCTCCTGCCGGTTCCCCGGGACCACGTGCTGGCCCCCATCACGATCAGTAAAAAACGTCTTCCATCAACTTGACGGCGGGAAAGTCCGCGGTGCTCAGGTTCGAGGAGCGTTTTGACCTGTTTCTCAAACGCTTTGATTTCGTTCCAACTTTTTCTGGCTGAAACCCATGCATTCGTTAAGCAACCTCTGGATCCTGTGCGGATCCACTTGCGTCTGGCCCGCTCGCGGTGCAGTGTGGGGGCGGGGCGCAGGGGGGGGCGCGGCCGCTCCCCCGCGCCCCGCCCCCTCCGCGCACCTGTGCAAACAGCCGCGCTGGGTGGGAGCGGGAGCGGGAGCGGAGCGGCGGCTGGCCGCCGAGCCGGTTACTCTGTTAACAGTGGTGCTCAAGGTCCAACGGATTCCGCCCTGAGCTTGGCAAAGTGCCTTCGATCGGAGCTGGTTTGAAACCTCTCCGCGGAGCTGCCTCAATAAAGAGAGGACTCTTCGGCCCGGGAGCCCTGCCTTTCCCCCCCGGGGGCCTGGCTTCTTCCCTCCACCCAGGAGCTGCCTCCCTCCGCGCAGCCTCGGCTTGGGCGTTTAGCTGCCGTTAAAAACAGGGAGGGGGGCAACCTGCGCCGGGTGGGCGTTCTCTGGTTTCCCACGAAGAATAGTCCCATTGTTGGTCCCACACCACCGCATTATCGGGAGTTACGGTCGAATTCCAAGTGCCTGAACGCCGGGGCTCTTGTTTTGTTCTTCGGGCTGAAGGTGTAGAGGCTGCCTCTGTCCACTCAGGGAGAGCGACGCTGGGGTGTCTTCCCCTGAGTCGTCTGCACTTCCTCTCTCAGGGCGTCAGGAGATGCAGACCGGCCGCCTCTCCCACCGGAAAACGAGCAGGACTGAGTCGGCCATTCCACCTTTTCCCCAAAAGCAGGAGACGGGGTGCTCCTGTGTGAGGCCGGGTCCCGTGACCCGTTCCCTTGGGCCCAGCGTTGCTGCCGCCTCCCTCTGCGTCTCGCCCCTCTCCCCCCCGTCCCTCTGTCCCCCTCTGTCTGGGCCTCTGTCTGTCTGTCCCTCTCAGAGCTGCCCCAGGAGAACCGCCCCCGAGCCCGCCCGTGCTCAGGAGTAAGGACTGCGGAGGACAGGGGTGTGGGTCAGCCGCTGGACGGGCCTCCTGAGGGGAGACACCGAGGGTCCCCACCCCAAGGGGCTGCCTGGCTGCCGGGCGCCCCCGCAGCCGGGACCTCGCCGCCGACCGCGGCGGACGTGGGAGCAGGCCCCGCGTGCGCACCCTTCGGTGACAGAACCCAACCCAACGTGCTTGCGTGCTCGCTCTGCCCGTTTTTAAGGGAAAGAGCAGAGTTTTGCAGACCCAAAAAAGGCAATGCTCTGTTTTCACTCGCCTCTCGGCCAGCAGGAGCGCAGACCGTTTTACCCAGGGGCAGACGAGGGCGTGCTGCGGTGTGGACCGGAGCTGCCGCGAGGGCCTCTGCCCTGTGCCTGGGGGGGGGAGGGGGGGCCCACTGCGGGGGACCCGTCGCCTCCCGGCACTGATCGCGTGCCTCGTGCACAGAGTCTGGGGAGGGGCACGCTGGGCGGCGTCTCCAGCCCCCACGCGGGCGGCTCTGCTGCCGGGAGCCGCAGCCGCCCGGCCGCAGCGGCCGCCGCTCCCTCTGGGGCCCTGGGGTGGGGGTTCCGAGGGTCCTGGCCGCCTGGATCCTGCTGCGGGTGGGGCTCCGGCTCAGGGCCCCTCCCTGGGGCCCCCCCTCCCCCAGGCCTTGGCCTCGGCTGCTGCCCTCGGCTCACTTTTAAACAGGGACCCTCAGAGCTCCCGGGGGCCGGCAGGGGGGCACTTTGGATCTTTGCAAGCTGCGAGTTTCCCTTTCCTCTTACTGCTGAGGAGCACGCAGACGAGGGTGCCCCCGCTCAGGCCTGGGCCACTCCGGCTTAGCCCTCGGTCTGTCCCGGAAACGTGCCCAGTGAACCCACCCAGGCGCACGCAGGGCCCTGGGCCCCGCCGCCCGGCAGTACGCAGTGAGGACCTCAGCTCTGGTGCTCGTTTCTCCCTCTCCGACTTCCCCGTGATGGATGGCTGGTGGGCGCCCCATGCATCAGGGACGGCACCTTCTCGGGGCTGGTGACGTGCCAGCAGCCAGAGCCTCCTGAGTGTTCCGTTCACCCTGCCACACAGAGCCCGCCTAGGGCTTCCCGAGACCCGCCTTCCTGGTCGCTGTCCTGTCTGGTGGGACGGGGGGCTGGGCTGGACTGTGGTGGGGGTGTGTGGGCTGGGGCTGGGGGGTCGGGTGGGTGGGGAGCACCATCCGTCGTCCGAGAAGGGCAGAGTGGGAGCCGCGGGCGGACCCCGGAGCTCGATGGGAGACACTGTTAGTTCTGAGTGGGGTGTGGGGGACTCAGGCCATTCCCTGAGGGGGCCCACCGCCCGATTCCGGGTGGTTACTCCTGGCTCCCCGGACGAGGGCAAAGCAGGGTGGAGGCGGAGTGAACTAGCAACCCCGTGGACAAGCTCCCGGATGGCCGCTGCCACCCAGACTTCGCGGCGAAACGGCACGCCGTGCCTCCCCGCGCACACGGGCAGTTTCCCACGCCCCTCAGTGCTCAGCGGCCCAGCCCCCGACTCCGGCCGGGAGAAGCTGTCGGTGAGCGGGGTGTTTTGAAAGAGATGACAGCTTAGCACTTTCAGAGGTTTGCCCTGGCAGGGGCCTCGGTTGGCTGGAGCGTTGTCCTGGGCACCAAAAGGTTGCGGGTTCCATCCCCAGTCAGGGCACGTGTGGGAGGCAACTGACCGATGTTTCTCTCTCTCTCTTCCCCCCCCGTCTCCCAGTCTTTCTCAAACCAATAAATGTCCGTATTTTTTAAGAACGGTTTTCCTTTTTTTTAAGATTTTATTTATTTATTTTTAGAGAGGGAAGGGAGGGAGGGAGAGAGAGAAACATCCATGTGCGGTTGCTGGGGGCCGTGGCCTGCAACCCAGGCATGTGCCCCGACTGGGAATCGAACCTGTGACACTTTGGTTCGCAGCCCGCGCCCAATCCCCTGAGTTACACCAGCCGGGGCAGTGTCTGTATTTTTTTTTTTTAAAGAGTTTTCAGAGGTTTCCCTGGTGTCTCTGGCCGTGGTCCCCTGGCAGGAGGTGGCCTCCGGTCTCCGGGGGCGTGCCGCGGCTCTGCAGCAAACGGTTCTTCATGTTTATCCAGCTTCTTCTTTCTCCTCCCCCGAAGTTCCTGCGCGTGGACCAGGACAAAGACAAAGACTGCAGCCTGGACTGCGGGGGCTCCTCCCAGAAGCCCCTCTGCGCGTCCGACGGAAGGACCTTCCTGTCCCGCTGCGAGTTCCAGCGCGCCAAGTGCAAAGACCCCCAGCTGGAGATCGCGTACCGAGGAAACTGCCGCGGTGAGTGTGCGTGCGTGCAGGCGCCCGGGCACGGCGTTGCGAGGCCTGCCCGCGGGCTCCCGGCGCGTCTCCGCTGCCCCGCGACGGGCACGGACGGGCCACTCTCGCGCCGGGGCGTGTGTCTCGGAGCAGGCAAGGAAGAAGAACTTCTGCGACTCAAGAGCAGAGCCAGGGTTCACTGGACTCATGCTCGCTTTCCTTAGCGTGTTGTGCGACGCCAGGGCACAAACTCGTCCACGGGGCTCACAGGACGTTTCCCAAGTTTTCCAAAATGCTTTTCACGGGAGCTCATTCTGTTTCTCCACCCCTTTCTCGTCTCGCTGGTGAGCACGGGGGGTGCACACCAGCACGTGGCTTCTTCGTGGTGTTTTGGGACTAATTCTGCACGTGCAGTTTTGGAGGGGCGGGGGCGTTGAGTAGCGTGCGTGCCCCGAGAGGCTGCTGGGCTTCCCGCACCGACGAAGGGCTGGGCTCCACAGAACATGCGGGTGTTTCGGACAGCGAGGTAGCCGTGCTCAGGAAGGGCACTAGCCTCCTCCCCTCCTTGTCCGGGAGAAAAGACCCCACGGAGCTCCGAGACGGCTCTCGCGGCCTTGCTGTCAGACCCCGCGGTCGGGCGAAGCTGTGGTCTCGGCCTCAGGCTTGGCCAGCGTCGTGCAATGTGCTCTTTCTTCCGGCCCTGACGCCGTGTCCTGGGTGACAGGTTTGAATCACTCCCGTACTGGACAGAGACGGAACTTTCCCGTTCCTGAGACGGGGTGTGGCTCCTCGAACACCCTAGGGAAAGCTCTGCATTCGGCGCTGAGGTCTCCCACCCTGGGGCCTCTGCCTGTGCCCCACGGGTGACGAGCCCTGTCCCCTGGGTGCACTTGCTGCTGCTCCATGGGCACCAGAGGGGGGGACAGACTCCCTCCCAGCATGCACCTGGGCACTGCCCGTGACTGATGGTCACACATTATTGAGGCTCCTTCTGTCCCTGTGCTTTGCTCAAGGTCAGAGTGTTTCAGGACCCTGGGCATCTGGGCCCAGAGAGGCCGGGGCCGGGGCCGGGGCGGACAGCAGGCTCTGGGGGCAGACTATCCTGCTTCTGAAGCTGAGTCCCACTCCTCTCCTGGGGACAGAGCTGCTGCTCCCACGTCAGCGCCTGGGGCCGGGGGTCCATCCTCCACTCCCACCGAAGGAGTCCCGAGGGTCCCAGGGCGGAAGCCCAGTGGGGACATCACCTCTGGGGGCATCACAGGGGAGGGGGGAGAAGGGCGAGAGGGTGGCAGAGTGCTGCGTGTTAGATTAGGGAATCTGTCTGTGCCCGGGGGAGGTGAAAGCCACAGACAGCGGAGGAGGAAAAGGATGGACGGACGGAAACAGTGTGTGCTGGAAGGTGAGCCCAGCTCCCCTGCCCCGTCCCCTCTGCACCTCCACTGTGCCCCGGACCGGGGTGCCGGGGCCCCCCGGTGACAGCACCATTGCTGGCCAGCCAGAGTGTCCCCTACCTGGCCTGCTCCACTCGGGATGTGCAGAGTGAAGGGATCTGTGTCCGCCAGGTGGAAAGACGTTCATGTTGATGTTAGTGGAAAAGTGGTCATGTTAAGTCCATCCCCCTGGGCTGTGGTGCCCCACTGGTCCCTGGGGAAAGTGGGGTGTCCCTGCATGCCGTGAGTGCAGTGACACAGCTCGTGGTCTGTGCTGAGCCGTCAGCAGCAATTCCAGGATAAACGCAAGTGCAGGGCGATCCCTTCAGAGAAGCTTCTGGAAGCCATCGCCTGTGCCAGCCCTGCCTGTGAAAACTGGAGCTGCGGAAGTGCCGGTGGTGACGTCTGAATTTTAGCTTTGGTTTTTCTCCATCCTGTGCCCTCTGGGTGAGCCCACTGCGTGCGGTCGGAGGCCCTGAGGACGCTTCCAGGTGGCCCCCGTGTCCGCCGGGCCTCTGGCGGCTGGGACGGATCAAGGAGACGCAGGCCAGAGTCCACGCAGGGCCCTGTGTCCCGCAGAGTCCTGAGGTTGCCCTCGGAGCCTTCTGCCTGGACCTCGGCCAGGCCCACCTGCAGGGTCAGCGCTGGGTTGGGCGGGCAGCGCAGGTTTGGAGGAAACACAGGTGTCCTGTTTGGTGGCACCTCTGTCAGCCCGCATGTGCTTGGGCCCATTGATTTGTCTAGGGTAATCACCCAGGCTAAGTGCCCTGGGTGGGGACTCGCATTCACGTCACCCAACAAATTTCCCGTCGTAAACTCGTAGCCCCCCAAAAAAATGCATGAAGGGAGAAACAGGTGAAAATAGATAGAGCTTGCTTCACAAAAGCAAATTCAATTTAAATTGAAAGGATTAAAGCAGGAGAATGCAGCTTCACCTGCAGGCTGCAAAGGCACGTGCCTTTGCTGCTTCCGCCACCGCCCGGGGCGCAAACGCTGGAGTCGCCGCAGCGAGAGAGCAGGAGCCGGGTGCCAGGCTCCGAGGTCGCCCGGCGGCTTGCACCCCCCGATGGGCGGGGCTTGGGGGCGGGGCGTGACGGGGGGGCGGGGCGAGGCCGGGCAGCCGGCTGGAGGCCCTGGGCAGACTCAGAGGACGCCGTGCCTTCCCTCGTTCTCCACCCGTGGGCGCAGACCCCGCAGGTCCCACTGCGCACCCCGGCGGGGCGGAGCTTCCTTCTGAGTGTGGGGGAGGGAGCGGGGTTGGCGTGTGCGTGTCCGTGCTGTCTCTCAGGTCACGCAGATGCCCCTCCGGCTCTCTCCAGACTTCTCCCGCCTGGAGGGTGGCCGTGCGTCCCAGTGTGGACGAGCCGAGGGCCGAGGGGCCTGCTCCGAGGGCGTGGTCACAGGCCTTCAGGGTGACAGTCCCGCTGACCTGTCCCTGTTGGACACAAGCGTGGAAACGACCTGGAAGCCTCGGCCCCTGTTGGATTTCGCGTCAGAGCCGTCGAGGTGGCAGAGCCGCGGGGCAGGGGGCAGGCAGACGCACGCTCCTCCCACTTCCTCCGAAACCCGCGGAGTCTGCGTTTCCAGAACTCAGCAAACGCATCGATGTTTCCTTTTGACCTGAGACCTCTGGGGCTGTCTTCCTTTTCCCACTGTAGAAACAATGTTTTACTTATTGTTTCCCTTACCGATGCCCATGGAGCCACGGAGCCCAGAATGCCTCCTTCCTCTGGGAGTCCGGCCTCCAGACTCGTGGGCGGGTGAAACAAATGTGTGGTCACATTTGTTTGGAAGAGTTTTCCTTGGGTCTAGCAAAGTGACTCGAGTCTTTGATTAGAAGAAGATCGGATCAATAATTGATTGAATTAAGGTACTGATACTCGATTTTCAGTTGAGGTGAATTTTCCTGCGAGGCACACATTGGCCACAGCTTACAGACCGCCGCGAGCCGGGAGCTGTGGCGTGCCCCTTCACACCCGGGGGCCACAGTGGCTGGGAGCACAGGAGACAGAAGGCGATCTTGGGGAGGGTGTGGGTGCACGGGGGCCCTGGCCCAGTCGGGCAGGAGCGCGCAGTGGGTCTGCTACTGTGGGAAGTAGGGGGGGGTCTCCCTGCAGGGTGGGCACAGAGTCGTCACGACCCAGCCAGTCCCCTCCTTGTTCAGACTCAGGAGACTGGAAAGCAGGCGTTCAGACGAAGACTTGGCCGCGAGCACCCGCCCCGACGTGACCCGCAGCGGACCCAGCCGGGACCCCCTGCCGTGCCCACCTGCAGCCCGCCAGGGGGACACGCCGTGGTCGGTCCACACCACAGGGCGTTTCCCAGCCAAGAGAAGGGGGGGCTGGGGACACACGCCGCGTGGACGCCCTCGACAGCGTGCTGGGGAAAGAACTCGGTGGAGGAATCCACACCGACCGCGCATGATCGCATCCGTCTGAAATGTGCAGAATCGGCAGAGCAGAGCGACGGGGGGTGGGCCTGGGCTTCCTGTGGGGGCGGGCGTTCTGGGCGGGGCTGGGCAGGGCGTTGGTCACACCGAGTTGTGGACACACTGAATGCCACTGACTCACACTCTTCGAAACGGTTAAAATGGTGGGTTTATGTTTTATAGCTATACCACAGTGAAAAAAAGGACGGTGCTTGTGTTCTGAGGATTTTATTTTCAAACTGGCGACATGAGGTGTCCGGAGTAACACCGCAGTTTACTCCGGTGCGAGGCCCTGGAGCGAGGCCCCCGAAGGGTCAGGAACCAGCTCCCTCGTCACAAGAGCTCGGAGCAGGAGTAACATGTGGAGGAGTCTCGTCACCTCCGAGCACCGCGGCCAGGGGAGAATGCGGCACCTTTCCACTCTGCTTTCGGAAAGTGGTGGGAAAAATGCAAAGTCGAGAAGAATGTGGTTCTGAAGTTGGGCTTCACATGTTGACGTGTGTGAAGAGGGGCGTGAAGTTTAGCCTCTGGTGTGTGCACACCGGCCATGCAGCACTTTCGAGAGCCGTTCAGGGCGGGCAGCTGGCTCGGCTGCGCGGGCCAGGCACATCCCGGTGCTGTTTGGGGTGTCTGCTGGTGCTGGGCGGGGGGCGGGTGCACCTGCCGCCATCTTGGCCTGCTGTAGCACAGGTGCATGTCACCTGGGCTCACCCCTCTGCAATGACCGACAAAACGAAAGTGACACACGACTGCCATTAGCGGTTTTGCATGGAATCGCCCCGTGTTTGGGGTGTGTCGACAGAACGGACTCGGAGGGCTGCCAGTCAGACTTTTCTTTTTATTTTAAAGATTTTATTTATTTATTTTTAGAGAGGGAGCGGGGGAGAGAGAGAGAGAGAGAGAGAGAGAAACATCAATGTGCGGTTGCTGGGGGCTGTGGCCTGCAACCCAGGCATGTGCCCTGACTGGGAATCGAACCTGCGATGCTTTGGTTCGCAGCCCGCGCTCAGTCCACTGAGCTACACTGGCCAGGTCCAAACTTTTCCCTAGTGAACCCTGGCGCCGGAGCCAGGGTGTCTGGAATGGGGACCCTCAGGCAGGTTCCTGAGGCCACAGTGTCTGCACTGGGCAGGTGACGGCGGACTTGTTTCTGAGGGACGAGGGACAGGCCGGTGTGGCTGCTGCCGGATGCCCCTTGTTTCCTCTGACGCGGAGCAGCAGTCAGCCCCAGGCAGACGCCAACCCGAAACTCAGCGCTCTGCCAAACGCAGGGGCTGCAGGTTGGAGAACTCTCTGACCGGTGGCTAAAGTGGCGTCTTCACAAAGAAGGCGTTCACGCCAGCAGCGGGCCCGTGAGTGGTCTGGAAAACGTATGCTTTCTGGCGTGCTCCGTGAGAGTTCAAACGCTGGGCGCAATTTGCAGCTCCCTCCACCCACCCGCGTGGAGGGCTGGCGAGCTGGGGCGCGTATCACTTTCCCCTTTCGCCAGTCAGACCGCAGGCGCTCCTAAAAAAAGGAGGACCGGAGTCCAGCAAAGCAGTGATTTCTCCGCAGCAAAAACACAGAGCGCATTAAAACCACATGTTGTTGAGGCCCGGCCGGCGGGACCCAGCATCGGTCTGGGTGGGAGGCCCCCAGCCCACGGGGGTTGCTGCAGCACTCAGGCCCCTAATGCAGGCTGAGCCCGCCCCCCAGATCACAGGCGCCCAGGCCGCCGACCCCCGCCGAAGGGTCTGTGTGCGCGTGGCACGCTGATCCCCGCCCCCCCTCCCCACGCTATCCTGACGGCCGGGAGCCAGGGCTGCTGCCCAGATGGCCCGTGTCGAGCCAGCAGTTTTTACCACCAGGCAATCAACACGTCACCGACTGCAGACGCTGGGCAGTGGGCATGTTTGAAGAAGCATCTCTCAGAGTCCACGGGGCCTTGAAGATCCAGACAACTTGTTATTTAAGTCTGGAAACACTTAAGAAACCTCGGGGAAGCCATCCTTTTCAAGTTTTAAAATTCAAATGAGCTGCACATAGGCTGGCTGAGAAAGAAAACTAGTGCTTGCGGCGGTGTCCGAAGGCACGAGGCACGGTGGGGACGGGAGGCCGCGCCTCCCCCCCCCCCCCCAGTGGTGGCCCAGGCTCCTGGGGGAGGTTTTGCTGACCAGGGTCAGGAAGAGGCGGCCCTTGTTAACAAGGCCTCACACCCTTCCCCCGAGAGTCTGAAACCGGCGTCGGGAGCCAGCACCCTTCCGGGTCCAGGTGGCGCTAGTCCGCGGGGCTGTGCCGCGGGGCTGCGTGGGGGAGGGGCCCGGTGGGCGCCGACGGGGGTGCCCCGGGCCGCCCTGCACTCAGTGGGCACAGATCCCCCCAACCCGGTCCACCGACTGCGCCCCAGGTGGGGTCCAGAGGGAGAGCACATGCCCTGAAATGCCACTTTTCTTTGAATTTTATTTTGCGTGGGTTTCAGGCGGGCGGCTTAGTGGTTCGGCAGCCGCACACTTCGCAGTGTCCCCCCTGTTTCCGTGCCCCCCGGGCGCCCCACGGAGCTGCTGCCGCCCTGTTGTTGACTAAGTTCCAGTTGGCGCTTCCCGTCCCGTGCCTGCTTTGTGGCCGCTGTGGGAAGCCTGCCGTGGGAGACTCGAAGCCGTAGGGACCGTGGGGAGAAGTGCGCGCCCTCACATTTCCTCTCCTGAGCAGCCCTTCCTTCTGCTGGGCGCGCTCAGAGCCCTCCGCTCCCGCCGGGGCAGAACGAACGAACGGGGAACGGGAGGGGCGCGGGGGAGGGGGCCCTGCGGTCTGACTGTCAGACTCTTCAGTCCTCGTCCCCGGGCGCTGTCCGTTGACTTTTAGAGGGGAGGGAAGGGGGGGAGAGAAACTTCGACGTGAGTGAGAAGTACCAACCAGCCAGTGGGCTGCTTCCTCCCGCGTGCGCCCTGCTGGAGATGGCACCCACAGCCCGGGCACGCGCCCCGCCCGACCGGGGACCGCACCCGCAGCCTTTCCGTGCGCGGGCCGCCTGCCCCGAGCTCCGCTTCCGAGCGCGTCGGGCGTGGAGGGGACCTGCCCCTGGGCCTCCAGGCCTTTCACGGGGCGGCGCTCCAGCCTGGCCTCGCCCGGCCTCGGCGCTTCCCTCGCGTCACCGCGGCTCTGCTCTGTCCCTGCCCGCAGACGTGTCCAGGTGTGTGGCCGAGAGGAAGTACACGCAGGAGCAGGCGCGGAAGGAGCTGCAGCAGGTGTTCATTCCCGAGTGCAACGAGGACGGCACGTACAGCCAGGTCGGAGCCCCCGCCGGGACCTCCGCTCGGTGGACACCGTCAGCCCCAGGCGCAGGGCCCGGGCGCTCTCCCCAGGGTGGCGACGCCGTCGTCGTCACGCGGCCACTCCGTGCCGAGGAGAGGGGGCCCGCCACGCAGAGCTAGGGCGCAGCTCTCAGTGGAGAGTAGCGCGGGGGCTGCCGGGAGCCGTGGGCGCGAGGACGACTTGGGGGGGGGTGTCACACAGGCGTTTGACCTGGGAAGGGACAGTGAGTGAGCGAGGGAACGGGGGAGGCAGGACGGACGCCCGAGGGACGCACCCAGAGGGGGGCCGTGGGGGGCGGAGGGGGACACCCCACTGGCAGCGGGTGCCAGTCCTGGCCCTGCACGGGCGCTCTGCTGCCCCTCGGTGGCCTCAGTTTCCCCATTTGTTAGGGGGGCTTGGATTCCGCCTCCAGGGGGCCAAGGACAAGATGCTCAGCCGTGCAGGGCCGGGAAGGGCCGCCGGTGGCCTTCCCTCTGGGTCCCGCGGCCCGGTTACCCCGCTGTCCCCCCGAGTGAGTGGTCGAAGGCAGGACCGACCAGGGGGAGCACAGCCCCCCCAGAGGCGGGGAGTGGGGCGCCCGCAGCCCTGACCCCGCGCCCTGTCGTCTCCGCAGGTCCAGTGCCACAGCTACACGGGCTACTGCTGGTGTGTCACGCCCAACGGGAGGCCCATCAGCGGCACCGCCGTGGCCCACAAGACGCCCCGCTGCCCAGGTAGGTCTGGGTCAACGGGCGGGTCGTTCTCCGGTCGCCGTCACCGTGTCCGCTGGCGACTGGAGAGAGAGTCAGCCTCGGCGGCCTTGCGGGGGGTGATGGGAAGGGTCTGCGTCGCTCGACGAACCCGAAATATTACGAAACCTCTGTTTTTAAGACGGCTCCCCGGCGGAAGACGGGTCTGAACCACACCAGGCCTCAGTTTTCAGAAATAAGGACAAGGGCTGTAGTCAGCAGTGGAAAGGACCAAATATTTTCTTTGGCAAAAAAAAAAAAAAGCAAACCTTTCTGGTTTTGTATGTATATTTTTGCAAAGAAATAGTGGCTCGTTCTTCATAGCTGCGCTTCCAGATGGCCTGTTTGTGTTGTTTTTATGACTCATCAGGGCCCGACGCGCTGGACGTAATCGCATTGGCAGGAGGATAATCTATAAAGGAGTCTGTTTTCCATTAATATTTCACCCCAAACTTTATAAATCACTCGGATCGTTCTCGTTTGAAAGTGGTTGCAGCCTTGCATCTGGGTTGGTTGTCTGGGGGGACCGAGCGGATCGGCGGTGGGGAGCGCCCCGGTCTCGGCACCAGAGCCCCGAGGGCAGACCCGCAGGAACGGGCAGCACCGGCCCGTTTCTCAGACCCGTGGTGAGGCACCAAGCCGCTTCCTGGTGTCTCGTAAACCATCGGAACGTTTGCGTTTAGGGTTTGCTTTTAGACGTGCTTTCCCTTTGAAGGGCAGGCCTGTTATGATGAGCAATTCTGTTCTCGATTCAGACATTCATAGCAGGAGCCACGTACGGGACAGAGCCCGCAACTGCCCCAGAATGATGACATCTGCAATTAACGGTAACACGAAACCTAATATTTCCAGGGACTGGTCATCGCTGGGAAGCTGTGGGGCATGCGGAATGTGGCCTGAAAATACATTATTTTTAAAAACCATGTTGTCATCCACGACCTAAAAATTGCTGAAAAAATATTTTTAGTGAGCTAACATTGCACCTAATAATTCTTTTACAAACTCATGGAGTCAACAAAAAAAGGGAAAAAAATAACAGGGTGAGTTGGCCTCTGTGTGTCCCTCGGCCTGAAAGATGCTCTCCCGTGGAGACTCCGTTCTGCCCGCCACGGGGCACGCTGTCCGTCCAGATGCACCGGGACCGGTTTCCGTGATTTCAGCGGTCCCGTTTGGAGAGCTCAGCGGCACCCCAGGGACGCTTAGAGACCCACGTGCGCAGTGGGCTGGACTCGCTACACTCGCCCAGTCCTGCTTCGCTCTTGCCGCCAGGCCACCGCACGTTCCGTCTGGTTCCCGGGTGTTGGAAACAACCTACTGTGTGGAAATGGCCCGATCTTTCACTGCCCATCCGGATTTTTTGGTGCAAGTGATGGTGCTGGAAGAAAGAGTGTGCGGTCCTTTCCCCTAAAGGTCCAGTTCGCTGTGTGGGGAAGGCTGTCGGGAGGGGCCGGGGACCGGGGCTTCAGATTCCCCGCCCCCACCCTGTCTGCATGAGTGTGTGTGTCTGCACTTCTGTGGTGCGGTTCCATGGCTGTGACCCACACATGGGGTGTGGCCGGGCTTGTCTCGCACCTGCTGGTTCTAATAGACTCCACAACTCCCTCTGAGTTGTGGGAAAATTCTATTAATCCCAGTTGAATTCATGCTTTTATTTGTCCTGCTGTCCATGCCAGTATCTAGGCTTGGACAGCAGGGGCTTGTGTTAGGGACACGTGTGAAACTCTGTCGAGACGTGGTGAGTTGTTGCGAGAACGTTGAAGTTGAACTGGGAGTTTTGGGAGGATCAAATGTGCAAGCACACGCAGGCACGAGAGCTCACGATAGGCTTGTGGAATGTAATATTTCCCTGCCTCTCAGACGCACACACGACCTCACAGATGCTTCAGAGACGTGGGTGAGGGGTGTCCCTGTGCATGAGGGTGTGACAAGTGACGCCTGGCACAGCTGTCCCAACGCACCGTCTGCAGACCCCCGGGCCTCTGTCAGGCGCCCGCTCCCGTCCTGGCGCATCAGCTGGTGCTCGTCTTGGCTCACGAGCACCGCCCGCCATCTGCCGTCCGCACGGTGGTGGGGCTCACCCCGTCCACTCAGCCTGGGTGCACACCACCGGTCAACAGGTGCTTCTTGTCCTGGGGTTTATATGGCCCCTGCCATGGGAGCCTGTGCTATGGAAACTTGAAAATCACAAAAAGAGATTTTGAAGATGGCGGCATAGGCAGACATGACCCGTCCCTTTGCACAGCCACGTCAAAATTACAAAATACAGAACAACCCTCACTCAGAGCCCTCAGAAATGAAATTGGAGGGACGTCTGACAACTATGGAATTAAAGAAGCCACGTCCATCCAGACTGGTAGGAGGGGCACAGGTGTGAACGAGCTGGTCCCTCGCCCATGTGTGGCAGAAAAAAATTCGGAGGGATGTCTCAGGACCGAGCAGGTCCAGCCCCACACCAGGCCCCGCCACCCGGCCCTGGGTTCTAGTGCCTAGAGGGTAAGACCCCACAACTCCTGGCTACAAAATCTAGTAGGGATTGAGTTGGTAGAGGAGGCTGCTGCAGCCCTAAGCAGTTCTTCTTAATGGACCTGCTCACGACTCCCCTACTCAGACTCATCCCTCTGAGTTCCCGCACCGGGGTGGCAGCTTAAAGGGTACCGATGACATACTGGGGGAAATTGAAGTGCCTGACATCAAGGAGAGCAGAGGCCGTTGTCCCTTTTCTAAACCCTCCCCACAGAGCCAGCAAGCTGGTGCCGTATCTGAGACTCCATCAACCTGGCTAACACTGTGTGACCCACTTTGGAGATCCCCAGAGACTCCACCCCACGCAATTTACTGGCCCACCCAAGTTGCTTCTCCATATGAATGGCTGGTCTTGGCTCCTAAATCTTCTCAAACAAGCAGCAGCTGGCTTCAGTGAGCCCCAGGCCCGGAACTAGCAGCCTGGATTCACAGCTTGGCTTCACCTGGAAATCCCCAAGCCCAGCACAAGTATGAGACATCTCAGATTGCTTTATAACTCAGGCAGGGTGGCCCCAGGCAAGCACAGGTGGGGGCTGGCCTTGGCTTGCACCACCTGGGAAACCCCAGGGCCAGCACACCCAGTGGACAGCTACAGGCCATGTTGGGACACCACCTCCCTGCCCCTGCACAGCTGATCCTCCAGGGAGGGCAGAGGGTGGTGGTCAGTGGCCACAGCCAGTCCTTGCAGCTGACTGGCCTGGGCATATCCCTCCCATGATCTGCCCACAGCAATGAAGACTAAACTGCAACGGCAGTGTGTACTCAGCCCACACGGTGGCCCAGCTTGGGTGACAGGGGAGGCCATGCCACTGGACCCTACAGGACACTTACTACATCAGGACACACGACCAAGACACGGAGTCAAAGCAGCTCTACCTAATACATAGAAACACACGGGAAGCTGCCAAAATGACGAGACAAAGAGACATGCTCCAAATGAAAGAACAGATTAATACTCCAGAAAAAAAGCTAAACGAAATGGAGATGAGCGATCTATCAGATGCAGAGTTCGAAACACTGGTGACCAGGATGCTCCAGGAACTTAGTGAGGACCTCACGAGCATAAAACAGATCCAGTCAGAGATGAAGGACACACGAACTGAAATAAAGAAGAATTTACAGAGAAACAACAGTAGAGTGGATGAAGCTGAGAATCAAATCAATGATTTGGAACATAAGGAAGCAAAAAATATAACCAATCAGAACAACAGGAAGAAAAAAGAATCCGCAAAAATGAGGATCATTTAAGCAGCCTCTGGGGCAAGTTCAAGAGGTCCAACGTTTGCATCATAAGGGTGCCAGAGGGAGAAGAGAAAGAGTAAGAAATTGGAAACCTATTTGAAAAAATAACGAAAGAAAACGTCCCTAATTTGGTGAAGGAAATAGACACACAAGTCCGGGAAGCACAGAGAGTCCCAGACAAGATAGATGCAAAGAGGCCCACTCCAAGGCACATCGAATTTAAACGCCAAAGGTTAAGTAAAGATAGAGAATCTTAAAAGCAGCAAGAGAAAAGAAGTTAGTTACCACCAGGGGAGTTCCCAGAGGACTGCCAGGTAATCTCTCAAAGGAAACTTTGCAGGCCAGAAGGGACTGGCAAGAAATATTCAAAGTCATGAAAAGCAGGGACCTACAGCCAAGATTGCTCTACCCAACACAGCTGTCACTTAGAAGCGAAGGCAGATAAAGAGCGTCCCAGACAAGGAAACACTAAAGGAGCTCATCATCCCCAAACCAGTATTATATGAAATGTTAAAGGGACTTATTTAAGAAAAAGAGGATCAAAGGTATGAGCAATAAATTGGCAAAAAACACATATCTATCAGCGATTGAACCTAAAAAACCAGCTAAACAAACAAGGAGAACAGAAACAGGACCGTGGACACAGAGGGTGTTGCGATGGTTGTGAGGGGAGAGAGGGGTGTGGGGGAGTGGGTGGGAAGTGGGGGTTCTGGGAAGTACAGATGGGTCATTGCAGAGTGGCCGTGGGGATGTACAGGACCGTACAGGGAATGGGGAAGCCACCGAACTTACGTGTCTGACCACGGACAGGAACAGTGGTGGGGGGCTTTCCTGAATGAGTGGGGGGTGCTGGGGGGAGGGGGCATGGGGCAAAAATCAGGACAACTGTAATACCATAATGAAACGTAATTAAAAAATAAAAATTAAAAAAATGAAAAGAGATTTCAAATTTGGCCATAAACCATACCTGCCACTCAGGGTGTGCACGTGTGTGTGTGTTTGTTGTGAACACACGTAGCCGCCCCAGCGGCAGGCCAGGCCCACGGGAGGGCCCACGTGCCCACGTGGAGGGGACGAGGGGGGCCAGGGCCGCTCCTTCCTGCAGGCCCACGTGAAAATCAGAGCCAGGCGTGCGCGGCTCTTGCCCTTTGGGCGCCCTTGGCCGGGGAGCCACGGAGGCGAGGCTGCCCACAGCCCGGACTGCTGCCCCTGCGGAGGGA